ACTTATTAAAAAGGGGGGGCCAGACCTGTCTTGGGGCAAAGGCTGTGACTCCAAGTTCAGTAACAGCCTCAAACCCAATATTCAGTCCAGAATAATCTTGGACTTTGGAGGTTTCTGCCTGCACCACCTGACTGTTGGGATCACAGGCATGTGTGACTGGCCTTATGGGGTACTAAGGATGGAATACCATTTTAAGTGGGGATGTCCTCAGCCCTATGGGCCATGTTTTGAGCCTTAATCTCTGTGACCAGGCAACTCCTGAAAAGAAGCTGTGTCTACAAAGAGCAATTTTAAATTAGACTTCAACGACTGGGGTGGTTAGAATGTGGTCGGGTTTGGAAGCTAATTACTCAGACCCACCTCTGAGTCAGACTACCATCCCAATAAACAGCTAAAAAAACTTTGGCATGTATTAACAAATTGCTCTTTGGGGCTGGAGAGACAGCTCAGTGGTTAAGAGCACCGACTGCTCTTCCAGAGGTCCTGAGTTCAATTCCCAGCAACCACATGGTGGCTCACAACCATCCGTTATAAGATCTGGTGCCCTCTTCTGGTGTGCAGATATACATGGAAGCAGAATGTTGTATACAAATAAACAATTAACCCCCCCAAAAAAAAAACAAACCCAAATCGCTCTTCACCACCAGTGGAGGGTGCCAAGGGTGCCCTCAGATAGCATCTGCACGGTGTAGCTGAGATTCCTCTCCCTGCTGTAACTGCCAATTAATGTTTCAATCAATGTATTTGAAAATTTTCTTGATTTATAGCTTTCTTTATTCTGTTGCTATGACAACTCCACGAAACTGCTTCCACATTAGAACATGGAACCTAAATCTGAATTCCCAGGCCATGATCACTCTCATTTGGGCTCCTGATAAACTATCTTATATTTCCTTTGATTTCAGAGCTGTGGTTTTTCGAATCAACAGTTTCCTAACATGGGGTGCTGCAAACCAAGATACTGAGTAAGATATGGATGGTTCTGGCCGGCTTATGACTCTTTGACTTTACAATGTTGAGAAAGTGTTATGTATTCTAGAAACTGTGCGTGGATTCTGGTGTACTGGAGTGTGTGTGTGTGTGTGTGTGTGTGTGTGTGTGTGTGTGTGTATGTATGTATGTATGTATCTGTACAAGAGCGCACATGCATGCAGCTGTCAGAAGGCAGCCTCATTGTCCTTCCTCAAAAGCTGTTTATTTGTTTATTTTTTTTTTGAGACAAGTTCTTTCACTGGCATTTAGCTCACCCAGGAGGCTAGAGTGGCTGGTCAGCAAACCCCAGTGCTTGTCCTTGCTTCCCCAGCACGGAGGTGACAAGCATGTGTCTAGCTTCTTTACGTGGGTGCTGGGATATGAATGAATGCTTTTAGGGCAAACATAAAACCAGTCCCTAAAGTAAACTTAAGGTTCTGGAATTCCCAGAAGGAGCTAACCTCCACTACATGCCCCAGAGCTGCAAGAACAGGCAGTTGGAGTTATCTCCCACCTTGCAGTTCTAAAAAGCAGTTTATCCAGAAAAACAGTCTGTGGGTCTCCAGAAACCATTGCCCCACCCTATCCCCTTCCTTTCAGTCTCTGTGCTCACCCTTTGGATGGTGCATTCCGTGCAGTGCTGGTAGGTCTAGAGGCACCACCTCTCCGACAAATAAAAACTGACTCTGGTCATCAAGGTTCATCGGAGTTTTCATGCTCCTTTTTCCCTCAACCTATTTAATTCGTACACTTTACTGACCGAGCCATCTCCCCAGCCTTTAAACACTTTTCTGATTTGGATATTTTCAACTTACGATGGCTTTCTAGGGCCATAGCTCCAATGTGAGAGGAGGGCATCTGTATTTTGAAAACAGGTTCTTGAAACTGCATGCTTCTCTTCCTGAAAGGCATCCAAGCCACTGACTTTGTTGTCCAAACCACTATTGGAAGGGGAGAGGGAGGACCCAGGCAGTCACTCTTGGCTCTTTCAGGTTTCACGGGCTGATATCCTGCTAAAGGGATGTGTAGTGAGAGGGCCAGCCAGAGCATCTGACTCCAGTCCTGCTGTGTTAGACTCTGGGACTGCTCAGGGTCTCAGCACATCTGTAAAGTATTCACAGCTGCCATCTGAGCCCCCATGAGGAGTAACCATGCCATTTGTTCTCCACGCTCGGCTGCAGTCTTCATCTCCATGTCTGGGGTGAGAATGGCACCTGGTAGGGTTCAGAGCACCCTGGTGTGAATAAGCTCCATCTCTGGGGTTGGGGGTGTGTGGGGGTGGAGGTGGTGTGTGTGTGGGGTGCTTAGCATTTGTCTCTTGGATGTGATTCAAGGTCCTGAGTACCTGTGACCCTGCCATCCACCTGACTGGAGTTCTCCACCTTGGCTGAATCAGAATGCCCAAGTTCATCTTGTACAGCATCTCCTTTTCTCCATTCACCCTCCCAAAGGAGCAGGCCAGAGGGCTGGCTAGCCACTTCACTGAAAATAGATGTAACTAGAGTTTGTTGGCACAGCTGTTATATTTAGCCTAAGAATTTTGTAAAATGTGCAACTGAACCCATGTCCACCCACCACTTCTGAAAGACCCACCAGGAGTAGACAAGCTCATCTTGTCCTTGTGAGAGCTTATGTTGTTTTGCTTGAGCTTTCTCATTTCCTGAGACACTGGGGAAGTTTGACCTAGTGTTACCTTTTTTTTTTCTTTTTAATATATTTTGTTGGAAAGAGAGAAGGTCATGTTGTGTCACTAAGCAACGTGAATGGGGAAGCATGCCCAGGAAGGCTTACTGAACAAACAGTCTCATGATGCAGATAAGAACTGAGATCTTGCCCCTTTCCCGTGTCTTCAACAGCCAGGCTGAAACGCTAGCCTAGTGTCTGAATGTGTTGCATGATGGGACCAGCACCATTCGTGGCCTTAACTTTGACCTTAAGAGGCAGGGAAGAGAATGCCAGCAAGCCAGCTGCTTGATGAGAACAGCAGTGACGAGAATGACCGGTGCCATTTTTGTTAAGTGAGTCAGCCATGTGCTGTTTCTGGAATCTCTACTTCATATAGTTACAACAGGATTTTGTTCTTTGGCTCAATTTCAAAAGGCTACTTGACTATTTTTGCCTGTAATTTGAAATATTGCCTGGCTGTTTTTCAGTATAAGGATTGTTTAAGGACAGAGAGCTCAATCTGTGGGTTTATTTTCTTATTTAACAAAAAAAAAAAAAAAAAAAAAAAAAAAAAAAAGAGGGCTGACCCATTGTCATTACACTGAACAAGCTCCAAGGCTGTCCTGGAATTCATAGTTAATATGCAAAACCCAAAGAGCCTAAGTAACAACTTTCTCACAGCTCATTTTTTTCCTCTGCAGAAGTAAACATGGATGTAAGAAGAAAAATAAAGGGCTGGGATGTGGCTTAGTTGGCAAAGTCCTTGCCTCATGTGCAGGAAGTCATGGGTTCAATTCCTCAGTGTCATGTAAGTCGAGAATACTCACTCAAGCCTGGAATCTCAGCTCTAATGAGGTAGAGAAGGATTTCATTCTCTGTCAATATAAGGAGTTTAAGGTTAGCTTGGCTTACATGAGACACACCCACCACCCTGAAAGAAAGAAAAACAAAGACATTCATACATAATATTCAACCCATTGAGTGGTCATTTTATACCATTTGGTGAACAGTAGAAATAAGACCTGAGTTCTTATATGATCCTTGGACATAAGACTTCTCGGTCTCAATATTTTGATTCACTCATTCTTGAAATTATTCATACATTCTACCAATGGACATTTATTAAGCATAGTCTAAGTGCTAGGTGCTGGGTCAGATGATGAGAATACATGGTTCTGGATAGGTTCGTCTGTTCCAGGGGTGAGATGACTTCAACCAGACACAGCATTAAGTTAGCGTGTAGGATATAATGGTTTCTAGTGACTTTCCGGGATAAAGTGCTGATTCAGGCCTGCATTTGGAGAAGACAGCTGGGACTGTGTCTTATCAGAAGGCATTGCTATGTGAATGTGGGAGAGGAAAAGACCCTGCAAGCTAAGAGTTCAGGAAATGCAGGTGGTCATAAGAACTAGTCTGCTGCCAATGGAATAATAGTCATGGACAATGAAGACGAAAACGAGACTGGTGAGAGAGCTCGGTTAACAAAGTACTTCCCTTGCAGTCATGAAGATCTGAGCATGGTTCCCAGAATTCACATGCTAAAACCAGGTGTGGTGGCAGAGCAGGTAATTCTAGCACTAGATAGGTGAGCCCCTGGGGCTAGTTAGCCAGCCATCCTTGCCTACTTGGTGAGCTACAAGACAGTGAGAGACTCCGTTTCAAAAACAGCAGCAGCAAACCAAAAAACCAAAACCCAAACTTAAAAAGGAACAAACAAGTAAATCCTAAAAAAAAGATGGACTATGCCCGAGGAATGACAGCAGAGATCATTCTGGGGCCTTCACATGCTTGCATACAGACACACACACACACACACACACACACACACAAGCATACACACCACTACACATATGTGTACTCGTACACACAAATGTATATGCATGTACAAAAAAGGAATGAAATCACATCATTTGCAGGAAAATGGCTGTAGACAGAGATATGATGAGCCAACTAAGCTAGAATCAGAAAGACAACTATCATTTTTTATACATGGCCTCTGGG